TGATTTGGGTGGAACTGGCAATTGGCGTTGCCTCAATGTGAGCTGCGGAGCTGTTATACCAGCTGCCGATGTCCACGAGCTGCTCGCTGAAGTCGGCGGTGCTCTGGTCGATGCGAAGGGCGAGCTGAATGTCTATGAATCCCTCCTTGTGCAGAACAAACAGCTACTACATCCCAATCATTTCCTCTTGCTGGACATCAAACAGAACATTGCAAGCATTTTGCGTGCAGCAGCTCTCATGAATTCTCTGAATGATCCCTGCAAGAAATTGCTGGAACGTCGCGTGGAGCTCTGCGGTGATCTGTTGCCCATTTGTCGTGCCGTCATGCCGGGCATATCCAAGCTCTATGCGATTGCTCTGTTTGAGTACCTGCTGTCCTTTGTGGAATTCACCGAACTGCAGTTCGCCGAAGGCGATGTAGACAAAAAAGGATACGCCGTAAGTGAACCATAAAATATACGATCTTTTACTGACTCTTAGTAATAATCCATATCTAAATCTCTCATTTAAATAGGCGCAACTGGAGCGTGCCCAATCGGTGGCTAAAGAAGCACTGGATTTATTGCAATTCGAACCAGAGAACTCGGCCGAGGGTTTTCTAACCGAACGCATTGGCATGGAGTTGGAGCGCATCGAATCTGATCTAATGAAATATGGAAAACATTAAAATATCTTAGAAATGAAGGTTTCGATAGGAAATGTTGAAATTTATGAAAAAATGTAAGCTAGAAATTCTTTCATTTGGAAGATAATGGCATGCTGAAAACGCATATCTCCTTATGCTAAAAAATTTCCCTTAATTAAAAATGGGTTTCTTTCTTACGTGGCCAAAATAAAACAATTTATGCACAAACATTTTAAATGGCAATGCCCGTTTTCAATAATCTTAACAGCTAACCTACATACATACATACATACATATGTATGCACATACATATGTATGCACATACATATGTATGCACATACATATGTATACAATCAAGATGGTTTGGTCATAAGGGCTTCAAAATATTTCAATGCTTCCAATTCAGATCTTTATTTAAATAAATTATAAAATAAATTAAATAAATTATATTGAATTGAAATCATGCTTCGCTTTATTTATACATACATACATATGTATGTATGTACATGCATAGCAAAAAATACATTCGCACAATGCTCTATGCTAACTGCGCATTTGATGCCGCGGCTGCACTCAGTATGTAGTTTTGTAGTGTAACCACAATATAATAGCTGCATACATACATACATACATATGTATGTAAATAAATAACTTCTTGTAAACAAACTTGTAGAATGTAATCATGGCGTATGTATGTATGTATGTGAATATCGACGCTCTTTGTCTTTGAGATTTATGTATTAACATACATACATACATACATATGTATACATATGTTTGTCGAAAACGGAGTAACTAAAATCTGCAAATTGTGAAATATTTGAATTCGTTAGCTCTTATAGAATTCAAGTTACGATATAAAAAAATGTTAACTCTGTGAAAAAAAAATTATGTTTATATAAAAATATTTTTTAAAAAAATCAAAAGAATTAAATAAAATAATAAGAAACAAGTAAGAAAGCTCTAGTCGAGACTGTTTGAGTACGAAATCTCCTGAGGCCTTCTAGAAATTGATATTTCAATAATTCTTTCAATACTAATTTCCGCTTCCACAAAAACACACATAGGGAAGCAAGCATAAACATTGGCTGCAGTGGCTTACTACGGGACTTAATTGCCTAATAACTTTTCTTGTTGATGAACTATTCTCATGAATCTTTTAGGTCGTTATATAACATAAAGTGCGTGTATATGCCAAAGCACATGTCCTTAATATTTGAAATACGCCTTTTACAGAGGTGAGGTTGGTGTACGTAGATATAGGGGTGGGGGATAAATTACAACAAAAATCGAAATAGTATAAAAATCATTTCTATCTATATACATATACTAAAAATTTTGAGATTCTAGCTTTAAAGTTGGAGATATCATTTTAGAACTGATTTTGAATAAGTTTTTTAATCAAAAACAAAATAACGGGATGATCTAACTATTTTTAGTGATAAACTCTATATGCGCGCTATACATACGGACATTAAAAAAGAGATCGACGCGTTCAAACAGATGTTTTCTAAAAATATATATTTTTAAGTTACAAATTTTCGAAATACGATTTCTATAAATATAATATCAATAACATTATTAAAGATCTTCGATTCGAATTAAAGATTTTTTCTGATAGTTTCTAAAGTATTAGCCCAGAATGTGGCTCTAAGGAGTTCAATAGCCAAACAAAAACGCATTCACATAAGTGCCACGTGAACCAAGGAGGGACTGGGCGATGAGCAGAGAAAACGCACATTGAGATACAAATTAAATTAAGAATCGCTTTTAAATATAAATAAATCTAAATAGATACTACAGTCTCAGTATCGCTCGACACAATATCGGGCCCTCAGTCGACAAGTGCTAATTGGCAACATCAGATGCAAAAATTGGCCAAAAGAAACGGGGAAGCGTTCACATTTTAAATAATCATTCAGAATGGAAGACTTTGCCAATAAATGTGAAGTGAAAGAAAACGAGACGATGGGCAGGTGGGTGGACGAAACCAAAGAATACCTAATCGAATGCCCAATTGAATTTGTGTTAAACATCCAATCTCCATATTCATGCCCCAATTGAATGGTCTAGATAGTGCCCTATTGATAGTTATATTGATGAACATTTCGAGTACCTTTTGAAGTACTCTATTGACTCTACTAGTATCAAATTAAATGACATGTTAAAACTATATTGATATCCTCCTCTGTCACATGTTTACTAATGTATTTAATGCTCTGGAGAACGGCTTATTAAACTTTACGTTGAAGAATATTTAAAATATCTTATTGAATACTCAATTGATATACTTACACACAATTATGACATGTTGACGTGTTGCCTATATTTTCTATACAAAGGTATTTGGTTGCTGCTGTCAATATCAAGGCCGGAGAAACGCTGCTGCTGGAGCAACCTTTGTTGCTGCTCGCCAATAACGCTGATAGACGCTGCTGCAACTGCCATCAGTTGACTTCCACGTTTTGCGGGTAGGTACTTGACCAGCATAGTCCTGAAGAGTTCCTCATTGTGTTACATTTTTTCCGTTCGGGGAGTGGCTAGCAAGTGTCGTCTAATGCCGCTGTGTGCGGAGTGCGTGGAGCATCATGACCTTGACTGCCTGCGCTTGGCTGAGTTGCAACTGAAGCTAGAGCAAGTGCAGCAGCTGCAAGCGAATGCAGAGATTGTCAATGTATTAAAGTTTTTGTTGTTGAGAGAGCATGCACAAATGCACCCTCGGTATGAAGATCTACTAAAAATGGAGGCACATCTAACTCGTCGTCGGGACACGGAAATTTGGCGCACTTATCAGAAACAGGTGATAGAGCCACTTCAATCAGTCGGATTGCTGTTACAGCTGCGAAATGGCTCGGAAATCGATGAGGAGCTGCTGCAACGCATGCTTGGCATTGCGGATATCAATGGCTTTGAGATACGCGCCCCGGAATCGGGGAGTTCCATGCGCGGTGTCTATTTGAGAGCCGGTCTCTTTGCGCACAGCTGTGTTCCCAATGTAGTAGCGGCCATCGATGAGCAGCATCGCATCAAGCTCTATGCAAATCGCTCCATAGCCGCAGGGGAGATTCTATACAATTGCTATACGAACATTATGCTGGGCACGGAGGAGAGACGTCAGATTTTGAAGATTGGCAAGTGCTTTGATTGCCAGTGTGTCCGCTGCCTGGATCCTACTGAGCTGGGCTCTCACATGAGCAGCTTCGTATGCTCCCACTGCGCAGGTGGATATATAGTGAGACAGCCTGACTCAAATGCGTGGCAGTGTCTCCTTAATCCAGAGCACACGCTGAAACCGGAGTTTGTGGCAAGTGTGGTGGAACGTGCTAAGGAAGAGGTATTTCATGCTCGTGATGATATCTATCGTCTGGAGTTGCTGCTGGCCAAGTTGGGACGTTTGCTCCATGGCAATCATTATATTATGCTCGATCTTAAACAGAATATAGCATCCATATTGAGGCAGATCTTGCAGAATATGGCACATCGACCCAGCCGTAAAGTTTACGAGCGTAAGATTCGCCTATGCCAAGAAATTTTGTTGGTTCTAAAGGTTTTGGTTCCTGGAATATCCCGCCTTAAGGCAATTGCACTCTACGAATTGGCCAACACACAGGCTGAACTGGCGCGTAAATTGTTCAGTGAACAGGAGCATAACGCTGCGGATTTACTGGTAAGATATTTACATCTTTACATATGTATGTACATACATACATATATACATATGCATATTTATTACTAAGAACAAAAAATACCAATTATTTAGGGAGAGCTGCAGCAGACTGAGGTTATGATGCGGGAATCCCTTCGCATGCTGCTTTATGAACCTATTTGCACTCCGGAGGGTCAATTGGCACGTAATATGCTTAGAGAGTTAAAAGAGCTTCAAAATGACATGAAAGTGCTGCAACAACCAAATGATGACCTGATTAATTAAAATTTGTTGATATTTTGTATTTCAAAATACTGGACTTTTACCTTTATTAGCGCTCAAATCGATTGCAATGAACTAGTCTTATCGGAACCAATTTATGACAGCAATCAAAAAACAACTCTTTTTTACTGGTTATGGATCAGTATGCTCCAGGGGGACAATAGTCACAAAATTGAATAATAAAATAATTGTAATTTAAAATTTGTTGTTCTTTTTATAAATAATTTGTTTTCATAGCACCGTCAAATTAGGTTCCGATTCCCTTAGCGTTAAAGTGGTTAAAGTCCGACTAGTCGATAGTTATTTAGTCCTATCGAAACAATATTGTGGAGGCGAATGATATAAGAACTACTTGTAGATAGGGTTCATTTTGAGTTTGCAGGTTTACTATTGTCGAATTAAACTATGCGTATTATTAAAAAGCTTTAAATTGTGTCTTGCGAAATTGTTTTTGTTTAATATGAGGAAGCAAAATTCGCTATTGTCATGACGATATTGAACAGCTGACTGACCAAAATGAACTAGACGGTTGATGAAAATAAAGACAATGCAATAGCAGCAGCTGTAAAACTAGCAACCCCAAGCTGAAAATAGGGTGACAAAAAATCAAAGGTGGGCAGTGCACAAAAGCTGCAAGTGACGCAGACGCTGGCTGATGTTCAGTCACAGCTTGCGTACTTTTAGAGAGGTCTGCTCGTCAAGCCAAACTAAACTCTCAGTTTTAGTTCCTTTGCTAAATAACCCGCTTCGCTCAGCTGTAAATTACCTAAAAGGAAGCAACATGGAAATTTTGTACTAAACATGTTAGTGAGCAACACCAAAGTATGTCCCAGCTATATCAGATTGTGAAATAATTGCTTTCCCATCGTTGTCGACATTTGCTGAACTTTAAAAACCCCCCACAAGAGTCATGGCTTTGGCCAGCGCAGCGGGCGCTCTGCTCAAACCACAAACGCCGCTCCAGCAGCTGCTCGAGGATATTAATTTCCAGCGCACCAAAGAGATGCGACAGCTGCTCAAGGATGGTAACTACAGATAATTATCAATAACCTCATACAATAACCATGAACAAGAAACTACAATTGCTTTATTCAGAAAAATTGTCTATATTTGCACATTATCGATTTGTCGAGAGCCCATCCGGCAGGCAACTCCTTCCACCCTTATACAGAGCGCACACACATACACAGCTGATTGTATGTGTGCTCAGATTATGCTCCGGTTTAGCACACTTACATATGTGTATAAATACGTACATATGTATAGACATTCAAGCATACATATGCATATGTATGTATGTATATCTGCATGCAAATTAGGACATACATATAAATACATATGTACATTTATTTGCGATCTGAAACAGTTATTTGAGGCCCTTGTCTGCATCTGTAAAGGGTACTACTACCTTATCCATGTGTGTGTGTAGTTTTTGCAAAGAGAAAATCCCCTTAGACTGACGACAGAGTGGCCGCGAGAAGCGATGCGATGCTATAAGCGATAATAATCGCAGCGATCTTCAATGCGATGACATGTCAAAGCGATAGAGAGAAACATTGCTTGAATAGCCAAAAAGAATATATTTCACCTACTAACCAACGGTTAATTAAGCTCAGATCGCAACAAGAACACACGTATAAGAAAAGCTTTATTACACGATAAAGCGAAAAAGCATTTCAGAAACGGTTTCTCGCAACTCGATTTACTTTTCGCTTTGGCTCTCTTCTCGCTTCGCTTGCACTTTGACATGTTTTAAGCGGTTACATGTAAATCTGCTAGAGCTTTCTCGCATATTGTTCATTCTGACGTCAGCCTAAGGCTACTTTGATATCAAATTAGTAAAAATTCTATGCTATACATGAATGTAAATACCGAGCACTATTATCGACCAATCTTTTTTTACCAATATCAAAATGTAAGTTGAAGTTTGAGATACAATGTACTTATGTATGTATGTATGTATGTATGTTATATATGTGAATGTATTTTCGTGCTGTGTCAGAAATATGTATGCATGCGGGGTTATGTTCTCCTGAGAATTAAATCTCAAAGAGGCCGTTTGATATTTAATATTTATGGGTCCGCTAGTGTTGTCATCTGTTTGTAGTTCGAGGATAAAAGATACACACTTTCAGTATTAGGTGATAAATGATAATAATGGTTTAATTTTTTTTTTTCCTTTTTGCATTTTTATTATTATTATTGGATAAGATATGGGACCACCTGTAGTATTTTTGTTGTACATATTTGTACTGGCCTATAAAGCATCAACATCACTTATTAGACTTACACAACCCTTGCATTAAAAAAAAAGTTGTCGAATATTAATAATTTTTTTATTATTCAGATCATTTAGTCTAAAGTATATATATATATATATATATATATATAACATTTTAAATATTTTGTATATCAGTAATTACATCGAGAGTACATAAAGGCTAGTGTTATTTCCTAAACTAATTCCCGTAACACTCTTTTTCTGACCTGATAAACTAAAACTTTATTAAATTGTTTCAGATGGCGGCTTTGTGGTGCTTCAGGGCACGACCTATTGGACGGATTTGTTTGTGCGTCATTTTCTATTCCAAGCAGAGCCTGTGCACAGCATCGACTCGGATGATTTGCTCTTTTTTGTGCGCAAAAAACACGTGAAAAGCTCCTCGCGCCATATGCCAAAATATGAGGTGGGTTAATGTTAATCATACACTTATGTGGCACATTTATTGTTCACTTATTCTCTTGTAGACTGAAGTTGAGGTATTTCGCAAGGATTCACGCAAGTTGCCCATCGGTGATCCAGATGTGGATTGGGAGGAGACTGTCTATTTGAACATGGTTATACATCAGTTCGACTACACGTTAACCTTAGCCATATGTACAAGAACCTCACCCAAGGAGCTGCAAGTCCTGCGACGGCACTCGCAACGGGTCTACGCGAGTCCCAGTCGCCGAAAGATGGATACCAAGGGGGAGGGTGAAGAGATTACCTATCCGCATATATGCTTTATGGTGGACAACTTCGATGAGGTGTTTAGCGACATATTAGTGCGCGATGGAGAAATGGTCTGCGTCGAATTAGTGGCCAACGACAAAGATGGCGCCGTGCAGGGCGTTATCTTTCTGGGCTCCATACGCTACGATGCGCTGAAGAAGGTCTATGATGCCAGGGTTAGTGTGGGATTATCTAACGATCCATAGAAAACGATAGCATATTGATATTTTGCTTTTACAGCAATCAAGCCTGAGCTCTAAGGTGGCACAGCGCATGTCGTTTGGGCTTTTCAGCAGTGGAGCAGGAGTCCAAACGCGTTGCGAATTCGTGCGCATGAAAGGGCCACAGGGCAAGGGTCATGCCGAGATGGCAGTGACCAAGCCGAAAGGCTCTGGCGTAGAGACGCCCACAAGCGAGCCTGGCTTCTGCGCCACGGACATGTGGGACGAATGGGAGGAGGAGAACGATGACTATTGCACATATCGTCATCAACGTCGACTCAGCGATCCGAGCGCGAATCTCAATAATTTCTCCCGATACGGCTGGCGGACAAAGAATACCAACCAAGACATGGTGGGCAGCGGCACCAGCACTACTGCCGGCGTCAAAGCCCGCTCCGAAAACGAAGGACTCGACTCGCTGGCCAGCGAGGTATCCGAGATCGAGGCTGGCGACTTGCGCGATGGTAGGCAATCTATATTCTTTGTACATTTGTATATCTAATGAAAGAAATAGAATTTTTTGATATTTTTGCATGAACTCTCTGCTCAATTGTAAATAATGTTAACCCACTTATAGTTTGTACTGATTTGTAGGCTATTTCAAATTATCTTAATTTAGTTTCGCTTTTCCTGCTCGCTTTGCTCTGCTTTAGTTCATTTTCTTTCTTTGCTTTTGTTTTCTGTTTCCTTGTAAACATGTTGTGGTTCCTAAGACTTTTCTTAAATTAACAAATTTTAAATTGAAATTAACCAACTACAATGTGTGTATATATATATTTTCAAAAAGGAACAACAAGTATATACCTAATACTTGACTTTGCCGAGAAAGCAGGACAACTAAAAACAAAATTCACAAACATCTACAGAATATGATATTTTTGTTTTCAATTTACGTTGGCTTTACATTTGAAATATTATCAATAAAAAAAAAAGTACGGGTTAGAATCGGTGTAATATAATATTAGAATAGATGCAATAAAAATTAATATAAAGGGTAATATGATTAGAAACAGATTTAGTAAGACCATTAAATTATAGAAAGGAAATCCTTACCATATAATATATATATATATATAGTAAAGCTTCAGGTTGTTCTATTCCATATACAGCATGAACTCGGGAATGTTCACTAATAATATTCATAAAATACCGCCCACTCATCCATTGTAAATAGCTTCAAGGCGACTCCTCGATGTGTTTCCACTTAGATTACTCATTATAATGTTATATTCTATATAACATTACTTGCTCATCAACGTCGTAACCACATATAGTGATTCACCCTTTATAGCGCTATCCCGGTTTTCATTTATTATTTTGTTACGCTGATTTTTTGTTTGTTACTTGGCCAAAATTAAAATTTTATGTTACTTGTCGATCGAGTCTCGGTCGATTGTTGTATTTGTCGTTGTAAATGCTTTATAAAAATGCAACAAACCGATCTATATCTACTTGTAGATCAGCAACGTCCTGCTTTCTCGGCATCCGCTGCAAAACTGTACCCAAAACTGAATTGTGAATCGCTCAAATTGTTAACTGACCAAACAAATTTAGCGCCAGCTGCCATAGACAACGAAGGAGTCGCTAGCAGTTGCACAAGTAATGATACGCCAGTCATGGCTGTCACAGCGGTCACTCCCCCACCGCTGAGCGCAGCAGTCGAGGCTATGACGGATGGCGGCAACGGAGGCAGCAGCAGCACGGGCTGCAATTGCTTCGGTGGCAAGTGCAAAAAACGCTGGACATCGGTGAATAGCAGCGTGGTGGACACTCCCGAAATGTCGGAGGTGTACTGCCCCAGCTGTGAGGATGCTGCTAATGAGACGCCCGCGTGCCTCAACAAAATGCCCGACAAACGGGCCCTGACACGGCTCAAGCCCAAGACGCCGAGCATATTGTGCGTGGAGAGCGAGCTGGTGGTCAGTAAACGGAGCAGCCTAAGGCTTACCAGCCTAGAGAGCAAGCGAAAGGCCGGCAGCAATATTACACGAAGCGTGTCCTTGAGCGCTGCAGATCGACGAACGAGTGTGCCAATGCCTAGAAAGGTGACGCCATCTCGTGTACGTCAGGTCAAGCCAAAAGAGCTAGATAAGGGCAAGGATAAAGATAAGGAGAACGACAAGAAGTCCACGAATCAGAAAGCGAATGCTACGAGTGCTTTGCTGGCTAAGATGTCGCCAAAAAGGCTGCGCAATACCCGATCGGTCGATAAGGAGAAGGGGAATGACAAAGAGAAGGAGAAAAACAAGGATAAAGAAAAGAATAAGGAGAAGGATAAGGACAAGGACAGACCGAAACCCGCAATCAAGTCCAAAACTGGCAACAATAACAACAATCATGTCAAAGCGAGCACAGCTGCAGTCAAAACTGAGGAATATGAAATCGCTGATGATGCCACCTCCCTGAATGGCCAATCCTTGTACGCAGACGAGGCTACATCGGCTGCTAAGATAGCCATCCTCAGCGAAAGCGACAGCAAGCTATTGATAAGCGTGCGCGGGCGCGAGGAGCTGCCTGTGGTGGAGCAGACACCAACGACGCCATCGCCACCCGCAGACGTGACGTCCGCGCAGCGATTCGAAAAGTGTATACGTGTACCTGTGAAATCAGAGAGCCATCCATTGCAGTTGTCGGCGGACAGCGCAAATAACTATAATAATGTGCACCAGGAGCCGAAAGCGGAGTCGACCCAGCAGCAGTCAGCGGAGCAGCAGCCACTGCTCAATGGTGAAGCGGATGCGGCAAATGGCAACGAGACGTCAGGCAGCAGCGCCACATTGCCTCGCACAGCAAAGCAATCCTATTACCACAAGGTGTTGCATCTGGTGCCCAAGCGCCGTACGCCCGACGGCACCAATATATATTACTGGTGCGATCTGCCTAAAAAGGCGCTCAAAGGTTAACTAAACACGATTCACATAATATAGCCCAATATCCACTCTGCATGTTTTATCAACGTTATTGAATATTACCTATTTGCCCCACTGATTTCTTTACTTTTGTATGCTTGCAGAGCTCGACGATGGCGCCTATAATCCCCTATGGACCAGTCGCGGGTTTACGCAATCCTTTCATTTCTGGAAGGAGAATCGGAGACAGCAATCGACTCCGCTCAACGCATTCCTGACATATGTTACACTGCCTTGGTGGAGCATAGCCAAGGGTAAGTTATACCAAATGATTGGGCTGATCGACTGATTGACCGTACTCTTTGAGCTAGACAGATGAAACTATTTGTATAGATGAAACTATTACTAACAAATTTTCAAATGTTCCTATCCACATATACATACATATATATTTAGCTTTCGATCTCATTGATAATTGAAAAGAAATATTTGCAAACTGTTCTATAATTTCTAAGAGTAGATCAATACATAATATAATTGTAAAAAGAAAATATGGCAATCTTACTAAATGATATTTTTCATTTCATCCTTTACAGATCTTTTGGATCATCGGGAGACGCCCATACTGACTTTTTAGTATTAGCTTTTCTCGTCGCTTGTGATTTGCTGTTAAACTATTCTTTAAAGTATTACCTATACAGAAATATCTCCTTTTATTTATTAGGTCTGGCAAATCATGTGATCCTTCTTTAAGTTTACTATTATATATAGAACAATGTTTTTTTATATCTCAGGTGGCAGCAGTTCAGCTGCTCCATTTCTTATAATTAAAATTTTAAATTTGCTAAAACAATGCCAATGCGAACCCCTGATTTATGATTTCAAAGCTATTTATTCAGATTAACTAGCGCATTATTAGATATATATATATACAAGTATATATTTAGTAACAATATATATGTGGAAAAACGTACATATGTATTTGAGAGTGTGTATAGCATGTTTGTATGTAAATGCAGCGCTGAGCGAACTTACTAACTTATATATATATATAGGTGTATATTGATATATACACTTACTAAAACGCTGCATTTTAAGAATATATAAAAGAATTGTTACCATTAAGAATATCTATATATGTGTATGTATGTATGTATGTAATAATACTATTGTAATTATGTGGAACATTTATACTATATACATATATATAGAGAGTAAAACTGTAAAACGAAATAAAAACATTTGCGTACAATATTTATTAAAAGACAAAATTAAATCGGCAATGAAAATCATATAATTTGAATCTCATTTCACATACATAATTAAATAAATCGTTATTCAAATAATTCACATATTCAAATCACATATTCAAATAAAAAGACGGGGAAAACACAAATCAGGAAAACTCAAGATCTATATCTATATTATTTATCAATTTACATTTGATATCAAAATTTAAAATATCTTTAATATGTGATTGCCCAAGCAGATGCTGTTTAATCAGGAGAAGCAAAGTGCACATGTTGCTTATATGGTACATACAACTATGTAAGACAATCAGAATACATTTATTATATACATATGTATATATAATACATTCGCCCGAAGATAACTAGAAAGTGCTCAAATTGGGATTCAGTCGGCTTGTACGCTTTGTCGGCGACGGTCGTGTATTGTTTATTCGCTCAAGGAAATAAAAAACAAAATCTGAAAGATTAAAAAATGTGGCACTCGTTGCCGTCGTTTATCAGCGTTGCTGTTGCCCTCTGTCTTGTGGCAGGCGCAATTAGTCGAGCGGCTGGCTGTCCCCGTGCTCCCACACACTTGCCTCACGGCCGACGTACACGCGGCGACAATGGATACAAATTAATTGTGGCTGATGGACCCAATGGATATGTGCCCGGCAAGGCATACAATTGTAAGTGTTAGGTGGATCTCAAAATCTTGCTATGTATAACAGAAAAGAAAAAACAAAAGCTTTTCTTAATCAGCGCTAGGGAGCGTCATAGCCTTGTGACCCCTAAAACGCACAGCACAAAGCGAAGACGATAAGCAACAAGTGTTCAACAAATGAGTGAATGTGGAGCGTGTCGTGTGGGTCTTTCATGATCGTAACTCTACATTGCAGTGTTTTGATAATATTCAAATACAATATTAATCCCAATGTGGGTTTGACAATTTCGGATTGAAAAGCAAAACAAAAACTTTTCTGAATTTAAGTAGAGTCCAATATTCAATATATGAATATTTGTATGATAATAAGAGTCTTTTCCGACATAAATGTAAAACATTTTCATAGTCTTCACTTATGTTAGACAATGTTTCAAGATCCTAATTCATTAAATTAAATAAATGCAAGCATAATAGATGCAATATTCTAAAAAAAAAAAAAGTTTACTTGAAAAAATGTACAGATAAAGATAATAAAATTCTAATATTCTTTAACTATGGCGTCTAAAGAACACTAGCTACAAATTTTGCTTAACAAATGATCTCTGATCTAGTTTGTGAATTCTTTCAATGAATTTCCATTTAAATTAACATAAATAATATAAAACTTATAGTACAGACGTTCCATACTTTTATATAATGAAAAACTTTGAACAAAATTAAATAATCTGTCGTCCAAGTACAAATTATAAAAAAACGAAGATTTAACTAGTAACTCTTAGAAAACTTAATATGTTTGGTTTAATGATTCAGCCCGTGCATAGTGCGCAAATGATTGAACAGAAAGCCTTGTTTCTTAAAGCCTCGCTTGCACTGTGGACAGGCGTAGCGCGATAGATGGGTTATACGATGCTTCTCATAGCGTGTTTTGTTGCTGCTGCTTTCGTCGCACCACTCGCAATAATACACACAACTATTTATCTTGGGCAGGAAGGCGAACAGTTGTAGATAATAATCAACTGCACTGGACAGCGTGACCTTCTTGAAGAACCTAAGATCGATTTGTTGTGCATGCCAGGAGTTGATTAAATTTAAAATGCGCTTCATTTCGCTTACATCCAAGTTGAATTTAAATTCCGCATTGGTCTCCTCTGTGAGACGAAGCAGTTCCATGAGGATCTTTGGGGTAAATTGTGTATTCGATCGCTTGGGATTCCAGACAGTAGTATATTGCCGCAGGATATTGGCAAACTTAGCTGCTTTTCCTCGTATTGTATCAATAAATTCGATGGGTTTTACTTCCTCAAAGTCAGCATACTTTATGATGGCTAGCTGCATGAAGATATAATCAATATAAAGTTAATAATTATAATTTTTTTCTATGCATTTTCTTACCCCAACTACTTTAAGAAGGGTCACATCGTTGCGTAGATCTTTGTCTACTGAATTGATTTTAATTTCTAATGTTTCCTGATCCGGCTGTGTGTTCAACTGCTTCTGTTCCTGCGGCTGTACGCTCGGTATTGCCTTAGGTAAAGTTTCAGAGGCATTGCTGTTGCATTGCGCATCGATAGGTACAGCCAATTCCAGCAAGCTATCCGCATTCACCAATGAAGTTTGTAGTTCGCTCTGGAAAAGAATGAAATAAAATAAGTGATTAGACAAACTATCTTAATATTTGAAAGCAATTTCTTGCCATTTAAGTTTTTCGCTAACCTGGAGAAACTCTACGGCGCTTTCGGATAAATCGAAATTCAGTGAGACTCTGTTAGATGTATTTTGCTCCGCGTTCTTACACCGTGTCTTCTCGTTCTCTGTTGTATCTACTTTACATTGATCTGTGGTTTTTACCTGTAGCTGACTTGAGGAAACGCTTGGTTCCGAATAAGAGGGTCGACGATTTGGCATTGTCTTCTGGCTTTTAGTATCGGCAAGATTTTTTGTAAGCTTCTCAAGATGATTTTCATTGGGACACGAACAGTTTTCCGAATCAAATTTAAGTTTGGCATGACAGACTGGATGGGTTGACTTGGTTTCGAGTTGAAGATTTAATTTTGTGGACGATAGCTGCTTCTTGTGGTCGATTTGTGCAAGTTGATCTTTAGTTAAAGATTCCTTCTGCTTCGCTAAATTTTTAGCTTTCACCAGCAAGTGATCTTTAATGATATTGACGTCATTCGCCGGCTTAAATGGCACGCGGTTTATCCTACGAAAATCGCCATTTATCGAGCTAAATATGCGTTTCTTTATAATTTGCAAACGCTGTTGCTGCTCTCGCTTGCGCACAGAGCGCGCTATGGCATAACTTTTATAATCGCAAATAAATTTTGGTTTTTCAGGTTTCTGTGTTTTGCTTTTGGTTTCCGTTTGTGGTCTTCCAAGCTTTGATTTGTGCTCCTCAATGGGTTTGATGGGCTTTTCAATTAGGTCAACTGAAAGCTGAGGTTTGATAAACTGAAAATCTGACGTTTGTTGCAATTGCAATTTATGATCGGAGAAATTTTCAGACGGAAGCTTTGGCTTTTTGGGAGCTGATGATTCCTCAGCTCGTAGCTCAGAGTTAAACAACATGGCTTCCACTTCCGCTATGACGTCTTTCGCTTGATCAGCTACTGGCAGGCAATTATCCGCTGAGAATATATATAGTTAAGTCACTTTCAATTAGAGTAATTCATTGGACTCACCTTCTGCTTGCCACTGCAAAACATTTTTGGGTGAATTTGTTTTCTTGCTGGCTTTCGTTTCCTGGTAATCCACTTCATAGGTGGCCAAAGCACTCAAAATATTTTTATTCATTACGATACTCGCTATTGCATCGCTTTCCATTGTGTAGCTAATGCCGCTATTTGATGAGTCTGTTGCATCTGCCTTATCAGCTGGCATGCCGGAATCACTACTGCTTCTACTGCTGCTATTTGCTTGCAAATGAACATCGTTCTGTGTGTCGCTGGAAGACAATAGTTCTTCCATGCTATAGACATTGTGTGCTTTGGTAAATTTAAGCACATCGCTGTGCATCCACTGCAAATGATGCAGAAACTTCGACAGATTTGTGTAAATGTCAGAACAAAACCGGCAAAACATCCCAATCATATTGTCTTGTGGTGAAACGATCACATCGCCACATTTTTCGAAAGTCACGCAGCCCTCCGAAAGCGAATTGAAAAAGCAATTCATCTTTACTTATAGATATTTTTGTTTGTTTATTTTAAAAGCAATAACTGAGTAACAAAGCGAACTGAAAACGCGGGATGATCGAGTATGAAAGCCGCTGTATTTAACTATCGATAACACGATGCTCGATTTCATTTGTACCGAAATTCTTTGTTGAAAGCATCGATAAATAGGGATAAGTTAATTTAAATTTTAACGAATCTTTCTTTGAATTTCATTTTCAGTACTGTTGCTTGGCTCACGCACCCATACAAAAATCCAACATTTCACCCACTTCACTATTGCTGCTGAGGCTCACACTGGCGGCAGACGGTCGCAGGTCGCCAGTCCACGTCGTGTTGGTCGCTTCCAGCTTTTCAGCGACTCACTTACCAAATTCAACGAACGCTGTGTCAATACAGTCTCAGAAGCAGATGATTTACCCAAGACAGAGGTACAGGTCATGTGGGTGGCACCCGAGACAGGTTCGGGTTGTGTTTCACTATCCGCCATGGTGTACGAAAGTCCACGTGCCTGGTTTTCGGATGACGGTCAGCTCACCCAAGTGATTTGCGAGCACAAGCCAAGCGCAGCTGATACACAGAAGGAATGCTGTGCCTGTGATGAAGCCAAATACAGTGTAAGTTGGAGATATATAATCAAAATACATAATCAATGAATCATCTCGGCAGTTTGTTTTTGAGGGAATCTGGTCAAATGAGACGCACCCCAAAGATTACCCCTTTGCCATTTGGCTGACGCATTTCTCCGATGTGATTGGAGCTTCCCATGAGGCGAATTTCTCTTTCTGGGGCGAAAATCATATTGCCACGGATGGTTTCCGCTCGTTGGCCGAATGGGGTTCGCCCACAGCTCTGGAAACGGAGCTGCGTGCTCAAGGTCCCAAGCTGCGCACGCTCATCAAAGCGGCAGGGTTATGGTATCCAAATGTTAATCAGAACACTTCTTCTAAATTTCGTGTGGATCGCAAGCATCCAAAGATTTCATTGGTATCCATGTTTGGCCCATCACCGGACTGGGTGGTGGGCATTAATGGAGTAGATCTTTGCACCTCCGACTGTAGCTGGAAGGACTCCATGGACTTTGATCTCTATCCCTGGGATGCGGGCACTGATAGCGGCATAACTTATATGGTAAATGGCTATGACTTTTTCTAAGTTGTATTTGAACTAACTGTAATATAACTGTAGTCCCCCAATGCTGAGACTCAGCCACGCGAACGCATGTACAGGATTACGACTATGTACCCCGAGGATCCACGCGCACCATTCTACAATCCAAAGAGTCAGCAAATGACGCCGCTTGCCAAGCTCTATTTGCGACGCGAAAAGATTGTCTCACGAAATTGCGATGACGACTTTCTGCAAGCCCTGCAACTGGAGGTGTCCGATGATGCTGAGGAACAGGACACGCGTGGTAAGACATATACATATGACGATATTATTATAATGCTCTCATAAACAGTTTTGAATATTCTTTCTTAGCTGAATGCCGTGTGAGCAGCTACAATGCCTGGAGCCCTTGCTCAGTTTCTTGTGGAAAGGGCATACGCATGCGTAGTCGCAATTACCTGAATGCCGAGCTGGCGAAGCAGAGCAAGTGCAGCCGTCAACTAATTTCGAAGGAGATGTGCGTAGCGGATGTGCCGGAGTGCGACAATGGTGCGGCTGGCCAGGATCGTGACGACGATGAAGGCGAAAATCTGGCGAATTCGCAATCGTTGGTCAATGACAATGGCGAAGGCACTGGTATATGTAGAACCACACCCTGGAGCGTGTGGTCTGAGTGCTCCGCCAGCTGCGGCATTGGCATTACCATGCGTACGCGCACTTTTGTTAGTCCACAGGGACGCAAGCGCTGTCCTCACATCACCATTGTGGAGAAGAACAAGTGCATGCGACCGGAGTGCACGTACGAACAGGTGGAATTGCCCGATCCGGATTGCCCGACCACCCAGTGGAGTGATTGGAGTCCGTGCTCTGGTATATGTGGCCTGGGTAGCACTATACGCAAACGCTTGGTTCTGCTGGAAGATGGTCCGATGAAAGATAATTGCACCAAGCGGCTCGAGTTGCATCAGCAAAAGCAATGCCAACACGCCTTGGACTGCAACATCAACATGGAGCAAGCCAAGGAAATATGCGTTCAACAGCCAGAGACTGGTCCTTGCCGTGGCAACTATCAACGCTACGCCTACAACGCTCACTCCAATCGCTGTGAGTCCTTCACATACGGCGGCTGTCGTGGCAATCGCAACAATTTCCTCACCGAGAACGATTGCCTGCAGACCTGCAGCAAGATACGTGGCGAATATGTAGCCACGCCGACCCACCTGCCCAAAGACTGCGTTATGTCCGACTGGTCCAATTGGTCGCCGTGCAGCGTGAGCTGTGGCTCCGGCTACTCCGAGGGCTATCGCTATGTCATTAGCGAGCCGCAGCATGGAGGCCAGTCCTGCCCCAAGCGCCTGATCAAGCAGCGTCGCTGCACCCTGCCACCCTGCTAGGTCCAGCAACAAATAGAAATTGCAGAGCTACATCTGCATCTTTCCACACATATTTTTAGCACTTTTCGAATAAAGTCGCAATAAAAGTTTTGCTGTAATCAACGCAACACGCCTGTGTTTGCTTTAATTGCGTTTGCTATTATTCAAGACTTGGCACAATTAAAAGCGACTCGATTGTCGCTCGTCTCTGCTTACATAACCTGTACTTGAACTAAAGGGTATACTAGACTACAAATGAATATATTATATACATTTCTATGAGGTGTTGTATATACATATGTATATTTAAAAAAATATCTACATTTATAGAGATTACAGAAATAATACAATTTTTATATATGTTATTTCAAATTCAATTCAGATGTTTGTGCTACATATTATGCATGCATAATACATAGTGTATGTATTATTAGAACACTTCGTTTAAAGCCTAAAATAAACCAATTTTACATCAAAAGTTCACTGATAAAAATCCCGGAAAAACTGGAAATATTTATATTGCAGAAATAAAATCAATATAAATTTATATATAATCATATTTGACATTTCTTTCGTTAATAATTTACGAATTTTTCTTATCTTAAATTACCATTCTGATTCTTATTTTATTCGAGTCAAATGTAGAGATTGGCATTTATCTCTCTTTTATCCCATATAATATTTATTTTCTTTTTTGAGTTATCTAAGCATTATAAGCTGCCAAATATTTATATATAATATGAAAAATTGAATAATAATGAAAAATTGTTACTTTAGTTTATTGAATAGTATTTACAGAGCCTAGCAACTTAATGTTGTTTACTTTATTTAGCATTACAGTTCGCTTATCTAGACACTTATTGAGTTCCAATTGAATACTGTGCCAAGCGGCTGTCGAATTCCGGTCGCAGAGGTCACTTTCACTGAGTAGCCGAAAGTGTTGCAACCAAATATCGTGTGTGTGTGAGTGAGTATATTTGCGTGGTGTGTGTTTGTGAGTGTGTGCGTATGTTAACAAGACGCTTTCCCGGCTACAATTGCAACCAGTTGGGCGGTCGTCGCATTTAGTTAATGCTAGCTTCTCGTCGAGTGCGTCTCGTAGAGCAATGGATAAGTGCGAAAAAATATTTCCTTACGAGATTCGCGATGTGGAAGCTTCCATCAATGCGGAGCTGCTGGAGTACTTCACAGGTGGGCAGTAATTGGAAATACTCAATTGAAATTTATTTCAATTATGCTTCGCAGGGGAGCGCACAGGCTTTGTGCAAGTTGGACCCGAGGGTTATTTTTTTCCACACAAGTATAAGGCCCATGCCAAGCAATATTACAATTTCGAGGCACGCCCCGATGATATATGGATAGCAACCGTTCCGCGATCGGGCACCACTTGGACACAAGAGCTCATTTGGTTACTAGCCAATCGTCTGGACTTTGAGAAGGCCCAGCAACGTCCTCTCACTGAACGTTTTCCCTTTCTGGAGTAAATGGAGATTTGAAACTTGTAGGATTTTTTCTTTTCATCCTAAACTCTTTCGACAGATTTCCCTTGTTCGTACACGATGAAGTCAAAGCAGAGCTTCAAGCTGAGAATAGTCACTCTCCAGCTGCTCTCGAGTTTATTGAACAAATTTCGCGACCGGGTTACGAGACGCTGAGCAAATTACCTCATGGTCAGCGACGATTTATTAAAACTCATTTTCCCTTTTCTCTAATCCCACCAAGTGTCTTGGAGAATAAATGCAAGGTAACTGAACATCCAAACTAAAAGAAAATTCAGTTATACTATTTTCTTATTTTTTTTTTTTTCAGATCATTTATGTGGCTCGTAATCCGAAGGATGTAGCTGTTTCCTATTATTATCTGAATCGTTTGTTTCGCACACAGGGCTACGTTGGAGACTTCGAACGTTATTGGCGTTATTTTCAGCAAGGATTAAGTATATATCTCCAATATTAGCTTCCTTTCAAAAATTTGTACAATTACCTACTTGCAGATCCTTGGCTACCTTATTTCAGTCATATAAAAGAGGCCAAGGCTCATAGTCAGCTCCTAAATGTGCTTTATCTTAACTATGAGGACATGCTCGTAGATTTACCAGGTACTATATCGAAAGTTGGCAAATTTTTAGATTACATTCCCGATGCTGTGGGACTAGAAAAATTAGTTGATCACCTAAGCATTAAAAGCTTTCGTGAAAATAAGTCAGTCAACATGAATGAAATGGCAGAAGTTGGAATTCTCAGAAGGGGTGAAGCCGCATTTGTGCGTAAAGGTGGCAAAGATAATGACACTAAGCAGCAGGATCAAAAGGAATTTGTTGATAATCCAAAACTATTAAAAATTGCTAATGATTGGATCCAGCAAAATACTGACTGTGCTACATCCCGATGAAATGTAGGTATTTCTTTAAAAATAGTATAAGATTATCAATCTTTATTGTCCCTATACATCTGGCTTTCAAAGCAATTTATGTGCTATTTTAATATTTCCTAAATCTTAAATAAAAAAATAAATATTGTACGTTTTTATCGCACGTAATAAAAGGAATTGAACTGCACTTCATCACGATACAAACTTAACTGCCAAACGTTGAATAGTTTAATGTTATCGGTCGTAATCGATTGAAATTCATCGCGTTGCAGCTTAAAGCTAGAATGTATATATGTGTATATAATCTTGCCGTAAAAATATGAATACCGTAGTGTATTTCTTAATTGAGCAAATATGACTTGAATCAGCTAAGCTTGTCCGGCCATACCACTAACCAGTGGTCATATTTACTTGGCAACCGGCATTTCGACCAGCGTACTTGCCTTTGCTAGAAACAGCTGTTTGGCGGCCAAGGAAATGTGAGTACAATGTTTTTGCTTAGAAGATATTATAGCAGCGTTAAACGCATTGCCCAAATAGCTGTCGCAAATAAACCAGGTGACACGCTGCAAGTACAGGTAAAGAGACAAGCCTTGGCTAATTATTATGTGATTTATGATTTTTTTTTGTATTGTAGGGCTGGATAAAGAATGTGCGACGTTTGAAAAACAATATATTTTTGGACATCAACGATGGTTCCACTAGCAACAAGTTTCAGTTGGTTGTGCCACGAACTCTGGATACGCAGAAGCTGACAGCGGGCAGCGTAGTCAGCGCCGTAGGTCGTGTACAACTGGCGCCAAATGGGCATTACGAATTGCACGCTGAAAATGTTCAATCAATAGGTGAATACATACATGCACACATTTGTAGTTTATATAATATACACGACTCTTGTATTATTTGTGTGCAGCGGAGGGTCATCTGCAAGACGGGTATCCGTTCTCTCCTAAACAGCAGCATGCGCCGGAATATGTGCGGGAGCACCTGCATTTGCGTTCACGCATCGACTACATTGCTGCCCAGATGAGAATCAGACACAAGGCACAAAAGGCCATACACGATTACATGGACGAGCTGAATTTTGTGCAGATAAACACGCCCATACTTACTACAAATGATTGCGAGGGAGCTGGCGAGGTAAGAGAACAGAAAAATGACTTCGCTTAATATAGCCTTTCATGCTCTTAATTGTAGGTCTTTCGCGTTCAGCCCGATTCAGATCAGCTGCTTAAACAGATGTCGCGGCCTAATGTGCCCGTTGAGGAGAGTTATTTCGATCAGAAGGCCTTTCTGAGTGTTTCTGGTCAACTGCATCTAGAAGCAATGTCCTATGGCTTGGGAAACACGTACACGTTTGCGCCCGCCTTTCGTGCGGAAAATTCCAAATCGCCGCTGCATTTAGCCGAGTTCTACATGTTTGAGGTGGAGCTTGTGTATATGGAGCAGCTGGATGCACTGGCGGCATTTATAGAGTGCACTCTAAAGGAGATTACTAATCGCCTCCACAACAGTAGTGCTTCCGATTTGCATTTTTGTCAGAGTAAGGCTAATGCCAGCTCAGACTTAACTTGGTTGCAGGCGCCTTGGACAATAATGAGCTATGATGAGGCCTTGGCGATAATTGTGGCTAATAGAGATAAGTTAAAGACTCCTGTGGGTATAGATGATGGGTTGAGCAAGGAGCAAGAGTTATTTTTGGTCGCACACTGCGGAGCACCCGTGTTTGTGCTCAACTGGCCTTCACAACAGAAACCCTTCTATATGAAGGTTTCACGCAGCGATCCACAACGGGTTCATGCGCTGGATTTGCTGATGCCTTCGGTAGGCGAACTGTGCGGCGGTAGCCTACGTGAATCTGATGCTGAGCTACTGAGCAAAAATCCAAAATTACCTAAGGACCTCTCTTGGTATGTGGAGCTGCGTAAATTTGGTGGCTTACCCACTGGAGGCTTTGGCATGGGGTTTGAGCGTTATCTGCAGCTATTGACTGGAGTTAAAAACATTAGGGATGTCATACCCTTTCCACGCTACCCACATAGCTGCAAAATGTAGTCAAGAAATTTAGTTTTCTTTATATTTTTTATAAAAGTTATTATGGAACTACAAATGGGTTAAAGTTAATTCGCATTCAGGGTGTCAGGGAAATTCCAATTTGGAATTGCTGCGCACACTATTTAGTTATGCATATACAATATTATGGGACAAGGATTACAGTTGGCCCAGCATTGGCTTCCGTCCGGGCCAAGCCTCTTTAGCATATTTCTTCTTCTGCGGACACATTGAGTCGCCCTCGCCACTTGTTTCATGTACATCATCCACAAAGCGACGCACTGAAAATTACAAATTTTAAATTATTGTAAAAATCATATTCAATGCTACATACCGTTCGCATTGGCCACAGCCAACTTTTGGGCTATTGACGAGCTGGGAATCAGGGGCTCCTCAAATGTGGGCGTTACATCTGGCGCCGGATTCGGTAACATGAGACCCAGTTTGGACCCAATGCCCAACGGGGAAATCGGTTCAAATTCGCTGTTGCTTTTGTGCTCATAGCTGCTGGCTGGCAATCCTTGATATAATGAATTTATTGGCGAGTGGCTAGCAGAATGGGGTGTTGTAGGCAACTGTTGCTGCTGCTGTTGAAGATTTTGCTGCTGCTGCTGCTGCTGCTGCTGCTTCATCTCGACTATGCTCTGCTGGAACATCTGATGAGTGGCATGTGCACTGGCAGCACTGCTGCTGCCTGTGTGCAGACCCATGTGATTTGGTTCATAGCGTGAACGTTTTGCTGGCACCACTGTTGTTTGGACTAGATTGCGAAACCGTCCAACGTTTGGATCAACATCTTCAGGATTTATGATGATCTCCTCATCGTTGAAGGTGACATTGCGTCTCTTGCGTCCCTGCTTCAAAGCATTCTGTTTGCGTAAATTGTTGTCATCGGCAATGCCCAGCATTGAGATACGGCGATTGTGGGCCGTATTATATTCGGTTAGGTTCTGTGGGAAGGAATTGTTCAGCATTACTAGATAAGCAAGTAGGTTGCCTCGCCTTGACGTACATCCAGCTCAGTTTGGCTCTCTGGGAGACCAAGCAAAGTCCCGTCGCTCATCTCGCTCATTGGCAGATCCTCCATAATATTACTATTCTGGCCACCCGCTGAGGGACGTTCCCGCAATATGTAGTTCCGTGTAGAGGCCCCAAAATGAAAGGTACTGTTGATCTGTAGCTGTGTGGGCTTATGCGCCTCCAGGCGCAGGTTCCCAATAAATGTTCCGTGGGCTGTAATGTCAACAATTTACAATGAGTAAAGATGAAGTTTTATATTACTGGATTAGCCTACTGGAGCCGAGATCAACGAGGAAGGCAATGTTTAGGTGCTTGTGGTAGACAAAGGCTGCATGCACACGCGAACAGGATGCATGATCTATGCAAAAATCGTTCATTTGGCTATTTCGGCCAAACAAATAACAACGTTTCTCATCAACCATTAGCTTTTGAACCAGCTTGTCATCCTTGAGCACATCCAAATGCAGCCCAGTGGGCGGTTTACCAGCCCAGCTGGGTATATCATAACTGTTTGCCATTTCAAATGCTTTACAAATCTAAAACTGCGCAACTCTTCGTTAATAACTTTGATTAAATGGGAGGTGTACACAATATGTGTACCGGCAATAACTTATAATAATATACTAGCAAATACCAAATGGAAAACGAATTCGGGTGAATGGCAAATTAATTTTATAGAAGAACGAGTTGGCATGTTTAACAAATCAACAATGAGCAGGGACCATATAAACAATAGTTATGTTGAAAGTGCAAGAGTTTATTTAAAATTAGGTGGACTCGCCGAAATTATTGTCAAATGTTGTCTTTGCGACATAGATGGTTTTACAGACTGGGTGCTGTTTCTCAGGCATTTGAGTGCAAGCCATGCTGCGGATCAATGGGAGGGACAACAGGCACCGAGCTTGAATTTGGAAATTCAGGCTGAAGTTGAGCTGGAGCTGCAAAATCTAAAAAAAATAAACAGCGAATATGAGAGTTCAGATGTCGAAGCAGAAACAGATGACTCTAATTTGGATGAATTAGACTTGAATATGCAGCGAGGAGCGCAAGTTAAAGACGTATTGACTTTTAAGGAACCAGCTCAGGTAAGTGAATGGAATAGAATTAATTAATTCAACTATTATTAATTAATTATTACCCAGAACACCAACCAGCCATTCTATAGCATGCAGCATACTCGCCCCGAGCTTCTGCTTGACTTTATTGATCAAATGCGTCAACATGAAAATCTATGGCGAGAGGACTACAGAAACGAAGACTTCAAGGAACACCGCATGGGAAACGCCCAGCAAATAAGTCAAAAGTTGGCAGAACGTTTCAATGTGGCACTTAGTCCACAAGTGGTCTGTCGCAGTGCCTGCGCGCTTATTAAATGGTTCCAGAAGCAATATGCTATGTGTAAAGCTAATTCCAGATTTCGCTGCCGCTATCAATCCTACTACGATAAACTGCTGGAGTTCCTTCCCACCCAGAATATCCAGATGTTAAGCTGCGATGAGTGCGAGCGATGTTTTTACAATGATGAACAGCTGCGTCGGCACAAATATCGTGCACACAGCGGCAGCTATCCGTATGCCTGTGAAGTGTGTCACATAGGTTTCTCGCATGCTAGCAAACTACGATCACATAGAATTCGTTATCATGAAGATAAGTCCAACCGTTGGCAGTGTACTTCTTGCAGCTATTGCGCCCCAAACAAGTGGGATTTGCGCGCACATTTGCCTACGCACAGTGGAGAGCGCAAATATACATGTGAAGTATGTGGGGTGTCAACGAAGTCCAGCTCTTCGATGGCTGTGCATCGACGCACACATTTGGCGCCTGCGGCTAATTGTCCGTATTGTCCAAAGAAATACCGTGAAAACTATTTGCTTAAGTGTCATATTAAAAAAATGCATGCAGTAGAGCTTCAACACGAACTGGAATAGCACTCATTAGCTGCAATATTATGTATTAAAAAAAATAAATAAATAAGAGGTTTACAATTGCTTTGTTTTGTATTTCCTTATCAAAGTAAGATTTAAGGCTTCGATAACATTGAATGACTATTTGTCATTCACACAAAATGATGATAGAGTTGCAACCCTAAACTAACGCGACGGCGTCACATTGTTAATGCTTTTTTAATGTCTGCGCTTCTAGAACGGCTAGATGAACAATATTTTTGTGTTATTCCGCGACACAACAAGATAATTACAATTTTTGTTTATATGCTATCAATAAAAGCAATTATCACCATCGCCGCCTAACGCCCAACCGTTTTAGATGTGCCAACATGGCGAGCAAGCGAGTAAAAACAGAGGGCATGGAAACCAATTACAAATTTTCGTGTCGCTGTTGCCTCAAATCCGAGGCGGAATTCTACAAACTGGACTCGCTAATAGAGTGCGGCAGTGGCGAAAATGACGCGTCCTCTACAAAAATACCCCTACTGCGTTTACTATTATTCTGCATGCGCATTGAAAATCAGCCCGAGCTGCCGCAATACATATGCGTGGAGTGTAGTAAAAGTTTGCAAATCTCCTACTATTTTATACAGAATGGACTGAGAGCACACGAAATACTCTGTCGAAAACTGTGCCCTGGCAAGCTAAAGCTAAATTCACCGCGTTCCAACGGTCAACAGCCAATACATAGGCTCGAGGTACGTGTGAAAGGCAATCGCCCTGTTATTGTGGGTGTGTGTGTTTGTGTGTGTGTGCGTGTTTCAAGCATTTGTTTTGATTTTAATTGCAGTCGAACGAGAGCGAGGATGCGACGCAGCCCAGACTCTGGGATCGAAAGTCACAAAAGTCCATCACGCGTCACGAATGTAAAGTATGCGGTGCCATGGTATACAATCGCATGGAGCTCAAGCAACACATACGCATGCACGCAGGTAAAAATGGGATGACTCAGAAGTATTTTGACATTTTGTTATTATGTGAATGTTGAATACCCTTTTGTCATGGAACGTGTAATGTTAAATTGCAGATCTATGTCAAGGTTTGGTAAATACCCTTGCCAATTACGATGAGACTCTGTTCTTGTCCGATTTAAAATTAGCTTACGACATTGTGTCGGTAACTGAGCAATTGACTCGAATTTAGAAAATCCATCGAAAGATCGCCTCACAGTCGATGCTATTTAATCGTGAATCCCTCCTTGTTACTTATGTGATGCTAATTCGTAATTGACTTTGAATATAGCTACGTTGAAAGTGGCTTAAAACTAATTTGCAACATTTTGTACTTTCTACGCACGCACACTCAAATTCGGACGCTCATACAGATGCATCGAGTCATCAGTGCAAATTGTGCAGCTTTGTCACGTACAAGCACCGCCAGCTGCCGGAGCATTATCGAAAAGTCCATGGTCTGACAGCAGCCCAAATCGAGCATCAGCTCAGGATCCGAAGATCCATGCAGGCAGCTGCAAACGCAATAAAATCACCGCCAAAACTACCAATAGAACCAGGAGATGGCGAGGAGCAAGTGAAGGTCTGCACTCTGGAGGATATGGAACTGTTGATACCTACTGTGCTGACGCCAGAAGATTTTTCGCATCCTCAACTTGATGCGGATCAGCTGCGTGATATAGAACAACAATTGGCGAAGTCTTTGCCCGTTGTACAGCCTACCAGCCAACCGGGTGAGCCACCGATAGGAAGTGGCAATAGCGCCAATGTAAGCATAGGTGCCGAGTTTCTGGTCATGCCTGATGGCTCTTTGCAGCAAGTGAATGATGGCGGGGTGGTATTCGAGTACATTGACGATAGTAAAAACGGCAATGCGGCGGCAACTAACATGACATTACAGAGTCTACTGGATGATTCCAAGCCTGACTTAACATATAGTGCAATGGACATCGACTTAAGTCATATGGGCAATGCATTGCCACAGATAAAAGGTGTGTGTTCTTCGAATCAGTTACTCATTTTGGTAACTGCCAACTAAGATTTGCTCTCTATTTGTAGTCAAGCCGAAAGCGCGACCAGCTCCCGCGTCTACTGGCGCTTTGAAACATAAATGCAAGCTGTGTCCAAAAGCATTTCCCACGATGGCACGTCTGAAATCTCATCAATTAACGCATAGTCGTGAGTGAATGTAAATTAAAACTTTATATATGTAAACAATGGTTCCTTTTTAGATTTGCCAAAATTCTACTGCGATCAGTGCTCTTATTATTCGCTACGCAGCGCCGATCTCATCCAGCATTATACGACGGAACACAAGTCCAGCGTTGGCGATAATCGTTCGAATCATGTAGATAGATCGCAATTACTTTTGCCGGCAGATAAAAGTCGCATTTATTCCTGCGATATGTGTCTGTTCGAAGCGCCAACCAGTGGGCAACTACGTGTACACTACAGCGATAAGCATCTGATAGTGCCCAGTGAGGTGCAACTGCGACCCAGTTGGACGCATGAGCCGAAGCAGGGGGGCGCTAATACAATGGTAAACAGTGGCAATGCTTCCAGCCAGCCCGATATTCCACTTGGCATCAAATGTAAGACTGAAAATTTCAATTATCAATTTAGTGCGCTTTATATAAAGAATTGTATATCTAAAGATCCTCCCATGACGTCAACGGTGTCCACTGCAGCGACAACATTAACAACTGCGTGTGCGCCATCAAGTCTGGAATCAAGAACGACAACAACAACTGTGGGAGCATCTATGAATGAGCTTAATGTTGTGGTGGATACCACATCATTGTTCTATGCAGCAACTGCAGAGCAGTTACCGAATACTGATTCGACAACATCAATAACAACTGAAGCTACAGAATCAAATACATTTTCAATATTCCCAGAGCAACCGTTTGCTAACAGTCTAACAACACCAACAACAACACCGACAACAATTGCTACAGACATGAACGGCGCGTCAACCACCACATCGACCACAACAAATCCAAACACAAGTATATTTGGTGATATGCAAGATTTTATAGATAATACCGATGTGGCTGCCATTTGTACCATACCTGCCGATGATATGCCTGTCGTTGATGGAGATGATATTGTTATTGATAATAATAATATAAGTTTGGACTTTGATGCGGAAAATCTATTTGAGGATTTTGAAGATGTCGAGGTTGGCGAAGAGGACGAAGAAGACGAGGAGGATGCTGAAAATGAGGATGAAAATGACAACAACGATGCGGCGGCTGATCAGAATCTGTTGCTCACCAGTGACGATGACGATGTTGACGACTTCGATGATGAACAGTCGAAGCATCTGCAAAAACCCTATTGCATCTATTGTAATAAGAAGTTCACTAGCCAATATAAGTTCGAGAACCACATGTTCGTGCATCGCGGTGAGTGGGTAATCTAGTAAATGTTTGTTCTTGGTTTAACTTCATTGAGTTGTTGCTCTGTAGGTTTGGCGCCCTATCGCTGCGAGCTGTGCACCAATCTGTATAATATGAAACGACTGCTCATTCGACATTATAAGACGGTACATAAGCGCATGCCCACGCGGGACATGGTGCAGGCCAAGGGCGACAAGGTGTCTGTGGCCCGTACAGCCATTGAGAAGATAAATGTTCACGTTGACAAAAGTAAGTACTGAAGAGTCTGAAAAGAGTGAATATATAAGAAGATAGTTAGATAAAAGGAAAATTAAGTAATGCAACTGTTAGACATAACCGCAAAGCATCCTTAAATTGATAAGAGATACAAGTGGGGAATAGGCTGGATCTGGGAGTTAGTCTTGTAGTGCGTGAACAGAGATCAGAAAAAAAAGTCCCTATTTTACATATTCGTCTATTTTCATTTTCAGTACTTATGTTATTCCTTTGTCTTTTTCAGATCCCATGGTAATGTGTGCTAAATGTCCATTTGAATGCGAACTGGAGGGTGAAATGCGCAAACATTTAAGTGCGCATCATGGCATAAACGATGGTGGTAAATATATTATATTAAAATTAAAAATTCATTTAAATAAACATTCTTGCACGAAAATATGCTCAGGGTCTACGCATGCCAATGAGGTGTTTATCATACGCAGTAAGTAACAATATTGAGAATAATTTATAAAACAAAAATTATTGAAAAAATTGCTTTGATCTGCGTAGAATTGCCCTATGACTGTCCACGCTGTATTCGGTCCTTTGCGGCTAAGCGCACGCTCATAAGACATTTGCAGCGAAGCCATTTAGTGGATACAATTATTGAGATGCAGGCGCCTCAATTGACAACTAGTTCAGCGGCAACCACGACCACTCCGACGGCAACAACAACATTGCCTCTCAATTCTAGTGATGGCAATAAAACAACAACAGCAACAACAACATCGGGGACAACAACTCAACTTAATTCGAACATATTGGCGCAGCAATTTTCGGAGTCTGTGGATGGCAATGCGAATGGTGGAGGCAATGGCAACGGCGATGGGAATGGCGATGGCAATGGAAAATGCGGTAAGAGGGTCAATAGCGTAGCAACAATGAATTCAAACTCAAATTCCAAATATGCCCAACACATGCCGGAACAACAACAACTGCAACAACTTAACGTTTCAAATGTCAATTTAAAAATTTTATTTAACTATGCTGATGCTGAATGATCCTTGTTCATCGTTGCTAGACAGGGACACAGGATGCTCAACGGATAATGTAACCACAAATACACAAACCGAAGCAATGCAAGACACAATCGATGCAACCGCAACAGAATCTACAGAATCTAATGGATCTACAGAACCAGCAAACACGGACACCACAGAAGCAGAAACACCATTAATAACAACAACAACAACAAGTGAAGAAGGGCCAGCAACAGCAGCAACTGCTGGCTCAACACTCTTTCCAACGCCCATTCCATTTGACTTCGACCTTGATTTTATGGGCGATGGAGAGCATGCCACAACCATTAAGAACAGCGACAGCTTCAGCATTGAACCCAGTCGCAGTCATTTATTGAATGGAACCGATAAGCTATTGACTGCTGCGCTGGAGCCATCGCCAGTTAAAGACCTGCGGACGCGCCTACCCCGTACCCCCATCTTTGTGTGCAAGCAATGTAATCACACCTTCGATGAGCTTGGCAAACTGTTGCAGCATGAGTTGGAGCAACATTCCAGCGGCATTATATCGCCGCGCAATAGTTACCAGCATCAGTGCAAGATCTGCAATACAACATACCGCACCGTAACGCTACTTAACTATCACATGAAACGGCATACGCCAGTAAAAGTTTCATGCAAACAGTGCCCCAAAGAGTTTGTAACCACATCCGAATTGGAGTCGCATTTACTGGCGGAGCATAGCGTCGGATCACCGACGCCTCTCAAATGCGGCATTAATGGCTGTACTAAGACATTTAACTACAAACATCATCTGAAACGACATCAGACTGCCTCCCACACGGCCGTGCAGTATATTTGCCCGGAATGCGGACGCGATATGCTTACTAGTCTGCATCTCAGGAATCATATGTCCAGCCATAAGAGCACACACTCTTACAAGTGTCCCAAATGTGTGCGCACCTATATGAGGCGCAATCCGTAAGTTTCGATTTATTCGTTATATATTCCGAAATAATAATATTTTAACACAAATTATTTTCTTTTAGTTTTCGCAGACATGCGCTTCGTGAGCACAAGTGGGAGCTGACCGAGCAGGAGATTGATCAAATTTACTGCATTAATGATATACAGACTTTGGGTAAATTTCGTGAGCGTAGATCGTTTAAGGTTGAGATCGACCAGTCCGATTAGCCAGCCATCTGACGCATCAAGTTGAAAGTCAAAATGATAAGAATTGTGTAATTTAATGGCAACCTGTACAAAGATATTTGTAGTATAAGCATACAATGTAACACTCTTATTTTAGAGTTACATTTAACATGACAATCAAGTATGCTTATATTTTAGATATATATGTATCCAGTTATATATCTAAGATATGCATATCTAAATTAAATATTTAGAGTTATTTGTTTATGCCTTTGTGAAAAGGTATTATTATTATGGTTACGTGGGGATATTATAAGCATTAATTCAGTTTTTATTTAGCATCTCCAAGATTTAAAAATTCATGTTAAGCAAATTATTCAATACTTAAATACATTTTGTAAACAGTAATAAAATTTAATTATTTACTAATGCATCTACATCAATTTGGAGTGCTTTATTTGCCATCAACGCGTACATTAATTAGTATATGTAAACTTATATATATGTACATATTTTGTATAAATATAGAGTACTTAAATATTAGCCTGTCCAAACCTGTGTTTTAAAGACAGTTTTTTTCTAAAACAAAAGTGTATTTCTTTACTTATGTAGCTGATTAAATCCGACTTGTAGTCCATCATTACCTAATTAATATATACGAAACTTTAAATGATATTTATTTTTACTTAACTCGAAATGATATTTTATTTGGGCTCAAGAAGGGCATTGTGAAATAATAAATTTATTTGAATCAATTTCTGCAATAGTTTTTGTTTTTTATTTTAGATGTACGCGGGGCTAGTGAAGAATTTATCTGCACATATCGTAGATGGCTATCGATAAATGGTATGACTATCGAATTGGATTTGAACACTGACTATTTAGGCACTTCAGAGTTCCGATAATCATTTCTTTGAAGTATAGTAATAATTATCTTAAAACTAATAAGTTATTATTATTTTTTTTTTTTTATCCATTTTTAAATGGTAGCACTGACCAAAGAACACAGTGGTCAGTGATGGTAGATATGACAATTCAAATATAATAAACATGGTGGCTCTGCCTTGGAACTTATTCATAAGGTATCGATTCAGCTCACAACCAACTCTCTTGTTCAAGATTCTCTAACAACATTTCAGGAATCGCGAGTGAAAAAAAAAACAGGTGAAAAGCCAATGCGGCATTGTCAAAGTTTTTTTTCATGCAAACAGATCATTTTAAACAATTAAATACTGTTGAAACAGATTCTTCGTGCGTATATACGGACAATTGAATTACAATCGAATGGCCGCCGCAGCGGATGCTGCAAAATCCAGCGCGCTGCTTGCTATGAACAAAGTGAACAACACAAAATGCCGCGCGTGCCTCTCAGTAAGTCGTCAAACCGTCAAACTCGATGCCAAAATACCGGATCTAAAGAACGCGCGCACATACGGTCAAGGCCTACGCCAGTGTACGAATCTACCATTGACGGCTCGCTCACCCGGCGGCTACAGGTGGCCCATGCAGATTTGCGTCCGCTGTTGCCGAGCCCTTGAAGTAACAATGCACTTCGTAGAGCTCGCCCTAGAGTCCAATCGTAAACTATTTGCCGAGTCGCAAAGCCTTAAGCTGTTACCGCCTTCACAGACGACGTTGACGACAACGACAACAGGTGAACTGAAGCGCAAAGCTAGTAGCGAACTCCTGCATTGGAATCAATTCAGTCAAGAGTTCCAGCAATTCGTGGAGAGCTATGATGGTGTGTCCGCCCCCATAGAGGAGAACGTACTTTATATGCGCGGTGCAAAAATGCCACGTCTAGACACTGATGTTGCGTTTACCGACGAGCCACCCAAGGAGGATGAAAGCAAGTATATTTAACTAATAGTTATATAAATGCATCTAAAATGTATCTGCTTTTCAGTAATAATCTTTGATGTCAAGTATGATAGCAATGATCAGGATGAGGAAGATGAGAACGATGGGTCGGATGCGAAGAACAGTGAAACCTTCTATGACAATAGTATTAATATCAATGAAAGCAAAACCAGCGAGAACAACAACAATTATAATTTTAATAATAAAAATGGTGACTTATCCGGTCTTCCGGACGCTGAGTGCGACCTCATACAGCGCGCGCTCTATATGACTCTGAACGACCATAATAACAGCGGTCAAAGCAAGCAGGAACTGCAATCTATTGAATCCATCAAAGCGACGTTATTAAAATGTAAGCACTAAGCTCAAAACTTCCCTGATGTGAAATTGATTTAAATAAACATTGTTAATTTGAAGCTTCGGAGGAACTGAGTGGCTCAACTACCAGCTCCATGGCCACCACCTCAAAGGTAACGACCAGCAAAGAAGTAAATGTGAACATACCGTTGCTCACCTGCACTATCTGTAAGCACACGCACACGGATGCCAAACAGATGCGCACTCATTATATGAGAGTCCACAATTGTGATGTGTCCGAGGATGATATCATTGGATTGACGAAAAGTAAGGCTTGGCTAAACTACAAGTGTTATAACTATCTAATAATGCAATATTCATAGATCAAAGCTTTAAATGTCGCCCCTGTAATAACTATGTAACCAATAGTCGCACGGACATGCAGCAGCATCTAATAGAGCATCACAAAATTGATGGCGATTTTGGTGCGTATTTGATTTTAGGACACTATAAAACAATTCCTACAGATTATCTTACTTCTTTGTAGAAATGTATTGCTACGTGCAACAGAATTGTCCCGCCTGTGGACGGATTTTCAAGGATCAGCGGTCGGCTCGCACGCACTATACAAGAATGCATACGCCTCAACAGCAGCAGCCATTGGGCGCAGATATTACTGAACATCAATTTATATGCGCCTCCTGCGACAAGGTGTTCAACTTGAAGAGCAGTCTGCAGGCGCATCAGCGCTTCTGCCAGGTGAAGCAGCCTGTGCATTGCAATTTTTGTGAGCAAAAATTTAGCAGCATGCGCAAATACGAGCTACATTTGCAGCAGCAGCATGCCGTGGATACCTTGCACGAATGTGAAATATGCTTGAAGAGCTTTAAGAACAGTGAATCGCTGTCGGTGCATCGGAAGCGGCATTCAGAGCGGCATTATCAGTGTGCGCAGTGTTCGCTTAACTATATCAATGCGGCCGAGCTGCGTGTGCATTATGAACGTGCCCACGTTCAGGAAGAAGAGGTGGTCAGCTGTCGCATTTGTGACAGTAAATTTCAAAATTTTGCCTTACTGCGTGAACATGAGCAGCGTAATCACCAGAAGTCAAAGATTTGGCGTTGTGACAATTGCAACTTCGAGACAAATTCACGGGCTCGTCTTCGACAACATCAATACGAGCATACAGACTATCCATACAAGTGCCAGCACTGCCCAGAAGAGTTTGCTGATCGCGGCAAGTAAGTGTGTGATTTTACGTGAAAATATAAAAAAAATATTTAACAGTTTTATATTTTAGGATACGTCAACATTCCAAGAAGATGCATGCGGTGGAGCTCACGGATGAGCAACTGGCTGAAATGTTTAGAGAACGCATTGGCTATACCAATCGACATGATGCATTCAGCAAGAGTAACAACTCATTGGAAATACCGGGCTTCAGTGATGACTGCTTTACGGAGCTGAAAAGCATGGGCTTGGACTACGATGATATTACAACCGATCTCTTTTCGAATTCCATTAGCGCGCTAGACAATCTGCTTGAATTGGGGCCATGAAGCATGAAGAGTAACGGATACATTTACCTGTATAGAATTTTAACGATGAATAGCTAACGAGACTGGAAGACTGTTTGCACCTATCAATCAATCAAACCATTCATCAAGTAGTAACAATCAACAGCCGTTATCATAAAGCATACACAGTTTAGCTCTGATTTTAAATTGTATTTCGTTTACCCAAAACTAATCGATAAATTCCACATACTCTCGAATGTAGGGTATATACACACAATAGTTTGTTTGGATATATTTTGAAGTAAATAAATAAACAAATCAAGGGCTTCAAAAGCGCGCCAAAAAATCACGATATTTTTTAATTTTTGTCGTGTGAAATATTTTAATTTTCGTGTTTAAACTATTTCAATTTTTTTAATCATTTGCACAGTGCTTGATTTATTTACTAATTAACGCCCTGAATAAATTTTGAGAGAAAATCTGTTGGTTTGGGATCCTGCGATTCCTTCCAATAACGCATTATGTGCCCCTTCTGTTTCCAGATCTCCACAGTCTCCTTTAGCTCCATTTGGCCCTGTATTTGATTAGACAGAGAATCAGAAGTTAAGGATAGAGTTTATCATGTGAGGAACACTCACCTTGATGACCAGCATGTCGATCACACGAATGTCAGTTACTTGACGATGCTTGACGAACTCCTCACGCAATTTGGACCGGCACTGCTCGATGCTCATTGGAATATCGTAATCCATAACTGTTCGCAAAAAGAATATTATTTACTTTTGTTAGCCGCCGGGACAGTTTGATGACATAACAAACGGATTTACCAATGTAGGGAATCTGACGGTACCAGGCCTTGTACAGATTGAGAGCACGTTTGCGTGCTTCTTCTCTATCCACGGACAATATGGGACGCACCTGTTGCACGGCGCGTTTGACGGCTTCACGTCCAGCCATGTTCTTGTCTCGTATTAATGATTTTGTTAGCAAAAAACTTCGTTGCAAAAGGTTTATGCTGCTTCTTTCAAACAGCTGGCCTGTTTCGATTAAACTCGACTACACTAAAAAAAAGTGTTGCAAAACCCTAGCAGCGGCCATCGATAGTTTGTGTAGACGCTGCGCGCTTCAATTTAAAAATTATACTGATTGTGCGTTACAAGCGCAGAATATGTTAGATTTTAGTCATGCTTTTGCTCATTGTTTGTGCCGCAGTATTGTGGGAATGTAAAGGACAGTTATTGTAAGCCCCCAGAGCATGTATAAAAACTGCACATTGTCATTATAACAATAACAGAGACAGCTGAGTCGAAAAAAAAACACTTTCATTCACTAAAGCTACCCATTGTGGCTTTTGTGCTGTTGACGCTGTTGTATTTGTTTTTGTTGTTTGTTTTTTTTTTTAAAGCTGTTGGTGCTGAGTGTGCGCGATGTTGACCGATCGACTCCGACTTTGCGCTCAGTTTAAAACACGTTATGCGCCTGTGCAGAGCGTTTTTGCGCTTTAACAATTTTTAAGTCGTGTGTATTTCGAAAGTTATTCTGTCCTCTATTCAACAAAACGCGTGTGATTTGCAGTAACAACTGCGCCGACGAAATACTGTGTTACGTTTTCGGTGTTTGTTTGGAACAACATTTGTAGTGATTTATTATGCAAATGCAGTAGGCGCGCTATAAACATTTTTTGGTAGGTCAACAATTTCTATTTTAATTGGTAGCGCCCAACAATTTACCATATGAGAAAAGAAAGCTGCAAAATATGATATCCGACATAGCATATCACACACATATGTATATATGGACGAACTGTATTTACTGTGCATAATTAAGCCAATCAAAAATGCTTTCTGCTGTCGGCCTTTCTTCACATATAGAATTAGACAGAATTGCGTGCATGTGTATTTCGTTTGGCTTGGTTTGGTTTTGTTCTTCGATTGGCTCTTGAAATAAATTGATACAATTTCAAAAGCTGAAGCGACGTGTCGCTATCTGGACCAATATAAATTCCAGATATGATAAACACACTTTTCGTCTGCCTTTAAGCGACTTGAAACTTCTTTGTCAAGGTTGATTGGAATGGCGGTTTAATTTCCAACGCGATCCATTTCGGCATCTCTTTACTGTTTTTTTTTTTTTTTTTTTTCAAATGCCAATTAGTCGAATTCAACGGGGAAAATATCTACATATGTTTGCATACAGATGGTTTTAAAGTAAACGCAAATTCCAGCCGTAACGATGTGCAAATATTAAATTAACCGCTGATATTCAGCAAGCCACCTATTAACAAAAAACATACAAAACTGGATTGGGTTCTAAGAAAAAAGAGAGATAGAGAGAAAGAGACAGAAAAAAATTGAGTCTTATTATTATTACTACGAAAAACGGGTCGAAAGGCTTACACATTCCAGTTTACCTCCGTGAGAGATATGAGTACCGTTTATCGTAGACGAACTATAGTGGGCCACGCCTTTGCCTCTGCCTCCTCCAGTTTGCAGTTGGTAAACCAAGTCAAACGGCTTTTATTTGTACCCTACTCAGCGTCTTGGCCACAATTTCATGGCCAACGCTTTAAGCGTTGCTTGTAAATTATTATTATTATTTGTATTTGTATTTATATTTATATTGGCGGCAGCGGCAGCGGAAGGCAACGCCCGCATTAGGAGCCGTCAAAAATCGTAGCGTGTAAAAGGCAAACACTCTCGCTTCCTCGGCCCATATCATTTGAAACAATCAAAGTATAACAAGTAAGAAGGTCTCGACTAGAGTGCTCGACTAGGAGATACCCTGAACCATCCAATCTGACTTCTAATCACTCTGCACTTCTTTTAGGCACACATGCATACACACGCACGTATTAAACCGCGCTCTGCTAACTGCGCAGTAAGCAGCGACTGCGCTTGGGCTGCGCTGCAGTGTGGGAAATATTAAACGAATTTATTTGTTGAATAATTTAATTTTTAGACTTCTGGTCTTAATAAAACTTTTAGAAGTTATCGCCCTGATCAAGAATATATAAACTTTGTGGGGTTTGCCACGCCTCCTTCTGTTTGTTACATACATTTTAACAGAAACCATTATACCCTGATTTCCTATTTTCAATGGGTTCAGGGTATAAAAACACAAAACACCAACCAGTCCGAAATTGCTGCTGCCAATCGCAAAGACATAAAAGAAAGAACACTTATCATATCGATATGAAAAACGCCTGTTAACAATATTTGTTGTTGATGTTACTGGCGAGCACCAATTGCTTTGCCATGCTCATGCGGGCAATGGGAACGTGATGGTACTGCTATTCCGCGAAATGAAAAGAAGACAACAACTGAAACTGAAAGACCGGATTAGCAACGTTCTTAGCGGGGAATTTCGTGCGGTAATAGTTCGCTTACATAGCTCTTTGGTTTTTGTTGTTGTTCAATTACGTTTGGCAGAGTGTTCCTGCAGTTGAAATTTTTCGGGGAGTATACTATAAGTCCTATTATCTTTCTTACGTGTTGAATTATATAAACTGCCGTGTTGTGCCAATATTTCAAGTGAACAAAATATGAAGCTGCTAATCATCCAATATTCGAATTAATAGAATATAATAAAATTGAATTTTGATGTTCAAGGTTTATATTATTGTTCTAGTTTGACTTGAATATTTGAAAATTTAGAAATTCAACTTTGTACTTATGTCTAGTACTAGAAAGTAAGCAATAAAACAAAAAAGAATCCATGTGAGATAAAAACTGTTACATGTTTTATACCTTTAATAATATATTCTCTTTGAAGATATCAAGCTGCTATTTAAAAGTGTTGCAGCCAGTTTCTTAAGTATCTAGGACTCCGCAAACTTAACTATGTAATTACATACATATGTACTAGCGTTCGTAGATACGGACATCAGTTTTCTTAAAAAATGTGGATTGATTTAAATGATCATAAAAAATACTTACGAATCTTTGTTCCATAGGAACTTTTTTATGTTTATATTGTTGGTATTAATACAGAATATAAATTCGTTCGAAAAATCGACACAATTGGGGCTGGCATTTCAAATTCTGAATATTTTACAAATTCTATATAATATACATACTATCTAGATTATACAGATTATAAAGATGAATAAAATAAAATTTGATAATAAGGTTTCGGTTATCATCAATTGATTCAATAATAGTTAAATCCCTAACTGAACTTGTATTAAAGAGATTTAGACACAATTTTATATAAATTTGTAGTAGGGGCGTGGTCCACGATAAAAGCTACATCCTTTACACTTCTAGAGCAAGAAACAAGGTAATCTCAATTTAAGTGGCCGTTGAGCATCTCTATCGATTTACCAAATATTATGTACATGTCTATACGTGATTTTGTAGAATCTTTTATTGCATAGATTCGGGAGTTTATCCGATCGAAATATTAAGTTTTTAAACATATTACATTTGTGGTTTTTGCATCCGATAAATCAGGGGGAAGATTGAAATATTCGTAGTTCTAAAGAAATATTCTAATACAACTTTTATCTTTTAATTCTCATTCGTGCAAGATATACTTGTCAATTTTGTAGTACTTTTTATTATCATATAAAAATTTATAACGTAAAGTATCTGGCGAACACGTTGAGCTCTTCATTTCAGTTATGATAATACTAGTCTTTTCACTAATTGTATTCATCATGTGAGTGACTAATATACGTTATCTCCTGCCTTAGACAATTTGGAGTAGAATATTTTACACTTTCCCCATTAATGTTTGTTATTTTCGAATGATAAGCGATTCGTACTCGTAAATGTCATTGTTTATTTGCAAACCTCTCTAAATATTTGCTAGTAAATAACTCTTGACGCACATTTATAAATCTATATAATCATACGAACCGTAATTGCAGCGTTTGAAACAATTGGGAGCTGCAATATCTCTGACCCATATTACGCTATATGTACATATGATTATTTCACTAAGTCGAAAGGCTTACTAAATCGAGAGTGACTAAGCCGGGGTTGTATAATGAGATAAAGGTCTATATGAGCAAGTAAAGTTAATACGCATTTGAAACAGGGTCTGTAGAGGGGATCAGCGGATCACGTGCGCAGCACACGTGTGAACCAGCTGGAGCGTTGAGTTCTTCGATATTTGTTTAACTTTTCCATTTTGGCTAACAACAAGTGTCGGAAATGCCAGTCATTTTGGTCCGTCTTAGAAATTATGCATAATTTGTGCAACAATTAAAAGTGAAAAACGAAAAGCGAACAATTTTTCGGCTAGAGGGAAATGTTTTTGGATTTCGGTTTACCTTTCACGTTGTTGTGGGTCGCGCCTGCAGGGCATTTGTTTAGCTATTAACAGCGTCAACTTTACACGTTTCAGGTATTTTATTTTCTTTTATTTCGCGGTGTTTTTTTTAAGTTTTTATATACATATATTTATTTTGCGGCAGCTATGCGCACGAGCACTTTACGCGATAACCGAGCCAGTAAACACAGAAACAAAAGCAACTAAAATTGCTCAAAGCGGAAGTATCCGACTAGAAGATATCCCAGAAACTTGCAAATCGAATAAGTTTTACTTGAATATACTTTCAAATAGTGTAAAACATAAAAAGTGTGGATTGCCTCAAATAACGGACTTATGATATGAACTTTGATTGAAACGAATATGAACTGATGATTAGAAATATGTTCGCTCGGAGTATAAAATTTGGGTAGAGTAAGATTGCTCCCATAAGCTGAGAAAAAATAATAGAACCGACAGACAGATGTATAAAGTTGCATTAATGTACTGATTCCTGTCCATGTTCCAAAGAAATCATTATACCCCATTTGCTCTACATCAATGGGTGCTGGGTATAAAAGCGACAACAGAGTCGACGTCGACAGCCGGACGACTTCAGAGGTGCTCGTCAGTGTTGAAGTTGGTTCAGGTTCAGTTTCAGTTACGTTTTGGCGTTTTACGGTATCGCAGCGGACAAACAGTAACAATATCAACGACAATCGCTTTCGAGGTGCGTCTGTTTCCAAAAGAAGAAAGACAATTATATTTATAGCAATAATAATAAAAATAATAACAATAAAATAATTTTGCTAACGTGTAAATCATATTTGAGCGCATTTTACGCGATTATAATTGCGCATACGACGCGTTGCCTGCTACAGAGAATAAATGCCTGCAAAAGCCGCTTAGAATCTGTGCGTGACTTGAACCGTTAAATTTCCAGTCAAGTGAATAGAAGTCAAATGGTTCGAAAATCGGTTCAAGTGTCTCGTTGCTCAAGCTGAAGTTATAGTACATTCTCCGAGAAACCTATCTATATATTTTTAACTAACAAATACATATATGTATAGTATAATAAATATAATCCACATGCAAACACGCCATAATAACATTAAACGGCAAATGCTTTTCACTTTTTTGCTTGCAACTCGATCGCATGCAAAACTTTGTTTTACGAGCTTTGAAAACTTAAAAAAAAAATATATATATACATATATATATATAATCAAGTATTTACCGTTATGAATTGGGTTCGTACCTTGAACTCAGTTTTGTGCGCTTTTACAACATCGTTTTATTTCTGAACACTTTATGCTGTTGGCTTTAATGCAGCAAGTTTTCACTTTCTTGCAGGTGGAGGCCGTTAATCATCTGATTAGATAATAAATTATTACAGCGCGTACAAGTTCTTGGGGTTTGCGCGTTTTTGGATTATGCTTTTTATCAGTTGATGTTTTTTGGGGCTTTTTTTTCGTGGTTTTTGCGAGAAATTGTAGCTTGCGGCCTTTTATGATTGTTGATTAGATTGACTTCTGCCTGATGTTACAACTTTCAGTATTATACTTTAAACGGGCTTACAAAATGCTAGAACTTTTTATATTTCCATATCTCTATATAAGTCGAACTTCTTGAGGTTCTCATAGCCTTGCAATGCGGTGATTCGTTGAATCCGTTGAAATAAATGTTTTACTATACTATATATAAACCTATATGAATGTTGCGTAGAAAAGACATACGAAATACTTAAGCTCAGGTGTTGCTTTCAGTTATAAAATTTGCTTGATTACCGAGCGTCAGCAGACCTATTTTATATACATATGTAGGGGAAACAGTGCGAGATTCCCAGCATGAGTTGCGCTTCGCACTTCATAACATCATAATAACAAGTCGATGCAGTTGTTGTGGCAACAGAGCAGCGAGCGACGTGTTCACACACCTGGCCAGACGAGCTGGCAACACACCTATTTCTTCTGGTCGGGCCAAAAAGGGGGCCAAGTAAGCAATTTTTGATTTACCAGTGATAGACGCACCAAACTCACGCAACAAGAGCTAAATGCGAAGAAATGAATATATATAAATTTGAACAAATGTGGACGTCTGGGATTTTATTTTTAGGTGGTTTGGGTTCTCCGTAGCCGATAACTGTGACTGGGCTGGGTCTTTTATAGCAGCATTTTTTTTTTTTTTTTTTGTGTTATTTACTTTTATTGCCTTGGGGCATTTGTCACAGCAGCAATTCACACCTAATAGCTTTTGCTCAACACTAGAACTTTTTGGCCAAATGCGATGTTTAGGTTTAGCTCATAAATAGCCAAGAGTTTAAAAAAATGGAGAGCTACCCTGATGCTGTTTTCAAATCTTATGCAGAAAGTTGACAATCTATAAATTTTAAGTTTTCTGTTATTTACTTTGCATATATGTATATGATATGCAACTTTTTAAATCGTGTATAAGGCTACAATGTAAATACTTTCGCTTTCTTTGGTGCTCAGCCAAGGTCTTAGGTTAAAAGCCGGTTCAAAATTTTTTTTATTATAATTTGCTTTTTGCCAACGATTGGCTCAGCAGCAAAAACGTTGGCAAAGCAGATAAATCATAAGCCTTGTATATTTTTATGAATAATTTTGCCAATTAATCAATAACTATATAAATATAGATTAATATGTGTATATACTACATACATTTGTATGCAGTCTTAGAGCGTATTTAAGTGTCATATATAAATATTGTTGCGCTCTCGCTAATTTCATATAAAAATATAGTATATAATATAGAAAATATTTATGAAATGAGCATGCTCGACTAGCAGTCGGAATGTTATATATATATATATATATATATATATA